GGCGGGCGGGCGGGCAGGCGCCGGGGCAAACGGCGCAGCAGGGCGAGAAGGGAGGGGGAGAAGGGGAGTGCCGATCTGGCCCGGGCGCCCAGAGCCCCGCAGGCGGGCCGGAAAAATGTGCCGGGGCCTGTCTGCGCACGCCCGGGCGGGGGCACGACGCGACGGGGGGGGGGGGCGAGCGACAACGTTGCCCAAGGCGCGGGGGGTGGCCTCGCGCGGGGTGATCCTCCAGCGGGGAGGGAGGGTGCCGCGCCGCAGCGTGGGGCGGGGCGCCTCTCCTTCGGGGGCGGCGTACGCGTGTGCGTGCCCTGGACGCAGGTGTGTTAATTCCCCCCTGCGCCGGGCAAGTGACCGCCCGGGCCCCCCGGCCCCAGCCCTGGGAGGGGGGGGGGGCCGGAACAGCACCGAGGGGCGGGCTGGGGGCACGCAGGCGACCGGGGCGCGCGCGCGCCCGAGAGTCCATGAACCCCCAACAGATCCCGACGGTGGCCGGAGCCCCTCGGGGGTCGGATGGCGGGGCAACTGCCGACCTGGCGCCGACATGCCGGCGCACCGGCGGCCCTGACATTCCTGCCGAGGGGCGATCTGGCGCCGGGCGCGGGGAGGACGCCGGTCGCTCCCCCCCCCCCCCCCCCCCCCCCGGTCCCCGGGCAAGAAGAGGTGGCTGGCTCCGGTCGGGGGGGATCGTCGCGCGATGCTCCGGCATACCCCGCCTCCCTCTCCTCCCCTGCTGCCCTCTCTCCCTCTCTCTCACACACACACACACGCGCGCGCGCGAGCTCCCTTGCCCTCCAGTGCTCGCCCTGCCCCGCCCCGCTCTGCCTGCCTGCCTCGGCGGCTGTCTTGTCTAGGCGTCCCTCTCGGCGCGCCTGCCCGCCTGCCCCCGGCCCCGTGCGCCTGCATGTCCGGAAGGGAGCCCGCCGCGCGGCGTGCGCGCAATGTGTCCCCCCTGCTGTGGGTGGCGCAGGCCCTCGACCAACGCCGGTGGCTGCTGCCGGTGATTGGCCTCGTCCTGCGGCTGGGCCTGGTTGGTGCGTCTGAGCACCCGCACACACACACACACATACATGCACGCACGCACGCACATGCAATTCCACTGCCCGATGGGGCCGGCAGCCCTAGCCATGTCGCCCGGAACTGACGCCCTCCGCCGGGGCCCGGCTCGGTGTCTGCCCTCTTTGGGCGGGTTTCGCCTGTGCCTGCCTGAACACGATGGCCAGCCTACGGTGAGTGGCAGGACCGCACCATGGCCGTCCGGTTCACGGACATCGACTACCATGTTTTCACGGACGCCGCGCAGTTTGTGGCCGCCGGCGAGTCGCCCTACCAGCGGTGCGTGTGTCCTTGGCCCCGCTGCGAGGGGCGTGGTGAGGGGGGCCAGTCGGGGCCCCATGTGTGCCCAGTGTCGCTGACCGGCTGCCCCGACATTGGCCAGGCTCACGTATCGCTATACGCCGCTGCTGGCCTGGCTGCTGCTGGTCAATCCCCTGACCGGGTCCTTCCTGCCGGGGAAGGTGCTCTTTTCGCTGGTGGACCTGGCGGCCGGGGTGCTGCTCGGGCGGCTGCTGCTGGCCCGGCGCTCGGCCCTGGTCGGCCCCAACGCCGCCAAGAGTGCGTGCACGTGTATGCCCTCCCTGGCCTCCTTTGCTTCTTTTCTTTTTGCCCGGGCGTCCCCGTCCGGGCGGGGGGTTGCTCCTTCCCCCGGCTCTGCCCCTTCCCCCGGCTCTGCCCCTTCCCCCGGCCCTGCCCCTTCCCCCACCCCCAGGGCGGCGTGTGATGGCTGCTGACGCGATCGCGATCTGCCGCCCCTCGGCCCCGTGCCCCCGGCCGCTGGACACAGCCCGCGCCGACCGGGAACTCCTGCTCGAGTACCTGTGTAACTGCCTGTGGATGGTCAATCCATTCACCATGACCATCACGGCGCGCGGCAACTCCGAGGCCATCACGGCCCTGCTGCTGGTGGGGTGCCTGTACCTGCTGGCGCGGCGACGCGTGGCCCTGGCCGCCATGGTGTTCGGCCTGCTGGTGCACTTCCGCACCTACCCCATCATCTATGCCATCCCGCTGGCCCTGTCCATCGAGGTGGCCGGGCCTGTGGTCTCGGCCAGCGGGGGCCGGCTCGCGCGCGCCATCCGCTTCTGCCTGGCGCGCGAGCGCCTGCTCTTCGCGGCCATCTCGGCCGGCACCTTCCTGGCTCTGACGGGCTTCTTCTATCGACTGTACGTGCGCTGCTGCCCCGTTCGAGGCCGGGTGTGCTGGGTGTCTCTCCGGCGGAAGGGTGCTTTGCTGGGGGGTGTTTTTCTCTCTTTTTTCTCTTTCTCTCTCCCTCTCTCTCCCTCTCTCTCCCTCCCTCTCTCTCCCTCTCTCCCTCTCTCTCCC